AAATTTCTTTTTATATTAATTGATTTATGATTTAATTTTTAACATTAAGAATATAGTTATTGTATTGATTTCTTTTTTATATTAATTGATTTATGGTTTAATTTTGTGTATTATAAATTAACTTATATAATTAAATTTATGCTTCTACGAATAAAAATAAATTAAAAATAATATAATATTTTAATTTTAACCAAAAAAGTTTACATTAAATATTTTATAATATTAATAATTATTAAAAAATAAAAATTTATATTTATTATTTTTCTTATGAAAAAGGGAAATGGTCACAACAGAAATTGTTGCGAAAAAAGTATTTTATTACAAAGACTTTTTTTTCGTTGGGATATATCATATACGGTAACAACTAAAATTGTTGAAAAAAAAAAGTTTTGACAACAAAACAAATGACAAAATAGCAACAATAATTATTGTTGTCAAAACATTACCATTAGTAACGACATTTAAAGTTGTTGAAAAACTTTTCGCAACAACGCTTATCGTCACAACATGCAACAACATTTTTTTTGTTGAGAAAAGTATTTTTTACAACGACTATAATTTTTTTACAACAATAAATGTCATTTCGAAAAATATTTAATCTTGTAGTGGCACGCAAAATTTGTTAGACTTTTCCCCAGCTTTATAATAGGCTTTCTCTTTATCGCTACTAGAATCAATAATAGCAGCAGGTTTCTCTTCTAATATAGTAAGGTCTAAATCCAATACACCGAGGTGAAATTAGACTTGCTCATTCCAGTCAAATAAGCTAAGCTAGCCTATTAAAAATTGGAACAGACGCTACAAGAGAATTCAGTAAATTGGGAACAAATACTTTATAATAAAATTTCACATTAGTGTTTTGAGACATAAAGTACATGCTACACATATAATATATTCAAACATCAATCACTAGTATATTGATGCTCTCCTTTGGGTGATACATCAACACACAACATACAAACATAATGATGCTAATAAATTTAATCATTATTTTGCAATTAAACATGCACCAATTAAAATTATCTAATACCTTTGGGTATATAAATAATTTAATCGCACACATAAGTCACACACAATTATATTCATTAAATATAAGAACAACTAATCAACCTTTGTGCGATACATAAATATCTTATAATAATGAATTTCAATATACCCATAAACAAACAATTATTTTATTTAACATCCATTATTATTCTATGGGTAATTGAATTAAATCATCATTAATTTGGAATTAAATAAATATAAAATTTGGCCACTTTGGTGACTAACAAATTCATCATACAATTAATTCCAAGTAAATAAAAAAACTTGACTAGTCCCAATTTAAAGTCATTCACGAATTTCATAAAAGAAAATAAAATAAAACTTCATACTTTAGAAATTGAGAACATTGGAATTCTACGTTGAAATACATGAAGGTAACATGCGCAGTCACAAATTTCAAAATTTGATTAAAAGGAAAAATAAATTATTTCCAGTTTGAAATGTTAATTTCTACGTTAAAATATATAAGGATAGAATGCGCAGTCACGAATTCCAAAATTTGATTAAAAGAAAAAAATCAATTCTTTCCAATTTAAAATACAAATTCAGGCATTTCAAAAAGGGAAACTTTCTTTCAATCACTCGAAAATTTGATTAAAAGAAAAAAATCAATTCTTTCCAATTTAAAATACAAATTCAGGCATTTCAAAAAGGGAAACTTTCTTTCAATCACTCGATTTTAAGAAAATAATTCTTACGCGAATGTCATTAGGATTTCGATAATGTGGGATTTAATGTATTGATCATAATTCAAAATTAAAAATTTCATTCATGATCCAAACAAACAACATGTAGCGGAAAATTAAATCATAATTCCTAATTTATAAAATTAGGGTTCATATGAATTGGGATTTATATGTATATAATTGTCTCAAACATCATTTAATATTGCAACAATGACCTTGACAAAATTATTCCACTTCAGGTGGTACTCAAAGGATCAAACATAATATTTATAACATATTCGTTTATTTATCTATTCTTTTCCTTTTCACTTTTCATATTATTTTCCCACTTCCGGTGAGGAAAATATTCTTTTATTTTCATTTTCATACAATTATCTCACTTTCAGTGAGAAAATATCCTTTTATTTTTATTGTTGCACAATTATCTCACTTCTGGTGAGAAAATATTCTTTTATTTTCATTGTCATACAATTATCTCACTTTCGATGAGAAAGAAAAATGCTTAAAATTTCTTAATTTGACAATGTCTTTTAGGTCATTGCAAAATCGTTATATGTATATATAACATTCATGGAGAATTATACAATTTTACAACACATATCATTTACGGAGAATCATTCAATTTCAAAACCTTGCACTGATACCACATGTAAGTTCTATGATTTTCTAATACATCAATTATAGAAAATTAAAGGATCTTTGAAATTCATAATACTCACATAATACTAAGAAAAGTATGTCCCTTCCTCCATAATGGAAATTTCCTTCAATCTTTAAAGTGCTTTGATCTTCTTGAGAAGAGAACCAAGATTTCACTCCCTTTGACTTTTCTTTCTACTCTCTCTATCTTTCTTGATGGTTAGGGTTTGAGAGAATAATTTCTGTTAGGGGTCTGGACCTTGTTTCACATTAGTGAATATTTATAACCCTTAAAGATTTTTATTCCCATCAAATAACAATTATTCTCAAAACCGTTCCATTGAGTCCATTTATGATTTAGTCCCTAATTTTTTAATTATTTATTTATTAGTCCCTTCATACATCACATGTTTCTCACATGAGACATAATTATCTTACAAAAATGTCATGTTATCTTTATTTATTTATTTAATATAGTAAAAATCTTTAATTTTGAGATAACATTTATAAACATTCTCATAAATATTTATGAGCAACCAAACAAATTTTCATGAGTTACAGGATTTATGATTTCCATGAATTATTATGATTCTCAGATAGTTAACATTTGTCATATATCAAAGACCCTTTACATGTTATTCTCTCACTCTCACTATCAAATTAATATATATGTCATTTTTCATTAATAAATTAACTTATCAACTGATCATACCAAATACTTCTAATTCAATTAGTTAACTCATAGACTTTTAATTTTTTTTTAACTCCTAACTTATAACATATAAACTTTCAACGAACTTATACGTTTTATAAGTTTTCAATAAGAAAGTAAGTTAATTTTATCAAACACACTTAATAATTGATTACGTAATTATAAAAATCTTCATAAAATTTAATAAATTGATTAATATTAATATGTTATATAAAATTAAATATAGGATTAAATGTATTTTTAATCCTTAAACTCTTGTTAATTTCATTTCTAGCCTTTGAACAAATTTTATTTTATTTTAGTCCTAAATTTTTCTTTCATGAACAAAATTACAAAAGATCTTAATGTCCCTATGTCAAGGAAAAAAAATGCTAATAGAAAAAAATCTCTCGGACTAAAAGTGAAAATCAATAAAAGTTTAAAAATTAAAAACATGTTTAATTTTAAAATTTACATAAATCATATAGTTGAATTAATTGATTTAATTAAAATATATACTCCTTGCAATCAGCTTAATTATTATAATTATATATTTCATTTTTATAAATTAAAATAATGGTAATAACATTTAGGCGAAAAATGATGAATATAATGATGTTATGAAACATCTTTTTATGTAAAAACCGTCTTTGGGATAATATAATATTATAAACAACAATAATAATAATAAATCAACCAATCAATAAATAATATATTGTTATTATTATTATTATTAAAAGCAGTTTTCTTTTTAATGTGTATTAATTATATTATTTTATTTTTCTAAAATAACTAAACATTTCTTTCATTTCAACTTCTCTTCATTTTTAATTTTTATTTTATTTAATAAAGTACATAAAAAAATAAATAACTTTTTTTCTGTCGCATTTTTCTTTTTATTTTTTATTTAATTAAAATACATAAAGATACTAGTTGCTTCTTTATTATATTTAAATAACATATTGTTTTTTTTCTTGATTATTATGTAAAAGTAATGGAACGTCTTGTTTTCGCTTGATCCCCAAGCAAAGCCAACAACATTGCAGAATAGTGTGCCCATTTGTTCCTGTCCACAAATTATAACGTCAACATAGCTTTTACATGTATTTATTTCGACGTTGACATCTTCTTCCCTTTATAGATTTTTTCTTAGGGAATCGCGTTTTTTGGAAAACGAAACACATTTGATTGAATAAAACATGCAGTGCAGCAATATATAGTTCATCATTATAACTTCGAGATAGTTATATTAAAGAATTTTAAAATATTTTTTTAACAGCAGAATCTTAAAATAATTAGAACTAGCTAGCTTGTTGGAGCTTTTATTTGTATTGATACTGTTTAATCATTACATTTATACATTAAAAAAATTACATTTATACAGTAAAATTTATTTCTTTGGTAAAGAAAAAAAATGATAAAAAAATTATTCATTTCACCACAACGGGAGTGGGCTGATATAAACAATGATGACATTGTATTGACTTCAAAAGAATTAAAAATAATCAATAATGACACAAGAAACGAGAATTCCTTGGTGGCCAAGCATATTACTTTTATCTCAAGAACAGAAAATTGACTTCTCATTAAAAAAAAAAACAAAAAGTAATGGTACGGGTGATTTTTATAAATTTTCCTACAAATTCACCTATTACTTTATAAAGTAAATATTTAATATCTTAAAAACATAAAATACACTCAATAATTACTATTAAAAAACGAGAAAACAATATTGTAAAAATATTTAAAATTAAAATTTAAAAATTAAATTGAATCGTTTAATAATGATGAGATTAAATTAAAGTTTAAAAATAAATTGAGAGATAAAAATATAATTTTAAAAAAAGTTTAACTAAATTCCTCGGATTAGTCTCAAGCAATTACTAAATAACGGTCTTTCTTTCTTTTCAAGATTCTTCTCGCAATTGCCTAAAATCATTTACAAATTCGCCAAAAGTTTCCTTCAATTTTACAAGGAAATCAAGCCAATGATATTTCCAAATATTTAATGCACTGATATTTTATATATAAAATAAAAATCTCCTTAGACAAAAAATTTGAACTAAAACAACAAACATATCATGCTATAAAATAGAGATTCTGTAGCAAGAAATTCTTGATATTTCACACACTGCCTCTCTAGCTACCATGGAACACAACGAACAAAGAACCATAACCACCAAACTCGTGAAATCCAAATTCTTCCCCAAAGTTGTTCGCATTTCGGTCACTGATCACAACGCCACAGACTCCTCCAGCGATGAAGAAAAAGAAGAACACATCCCGAGGATCAAGAAAGTAGTTAACGAGATAAGAATTGTGTGTGTCTCAAGCAATAACAACAGTGGTTGCCAAGAGAATGAAAGTCTCAAACAACAAGAGAAAAATCAGCGAAAATTCCGCGGCGTCCGGCAGCGGGCCTGGGGCCGGTGGGCCGCCGAGATTAGAGACCCGGCCCGACAAAGGCGGGTATGGCTCGGCACTTTCGACACTGCTGAAGAGGCCGCTATGGTGTATGACAGAGCCGCTATTAGTTTAAGAGGTGCTCAAGCTGTTACTAATATAATCAAACCAACAACACCGTGCATAAACCATAATATTACGAATGAGATTAGTTTCTGTGTCAATGGATCGAAAGATACATGTGGCATGTGGACAAAAAAACCTACACATGTGGTACAAGACGAGGATGTGTACGGTCACAATGTTGTTAGTGTCACGAGTTGTGGATACCCTTCACCCACTTCTGTTCTCATGTTTCGGCCTTGGGTGGAACCCTTATTATTGGAAGATACGTCTCAAGGGTTGATAGAAAATGATAATGATGATAATTTCTTGTTCCAAGATCGTGTATTCTACGAAGAACCTCTTCCTATGATGTTTTCTAATGTTGATTGTGTTGATGTTCCGTTGTACGAGGATTTTGAATCGTGTAAATGGGACTTAGATAACTATTTCACTGATCCTTTGTTGCAACCATGATGAGATGTGGGTTCACAAAGGAAAAAAAAGTTGTATCTTTGTGTTTAGTCTATTTTGGAGAAATTTGTAAATAAGCAGATTAAAGTGTTGTTAGTTAACTCCAAACAAGTTTTGATTTTTTGTTTTTTAATTTGTGGGATATTTTTGACGATGCATTGAGATGCATTGTGCAAAGTTTTGGGCCATTCATGCACTTAAGCTTAAAGTGAGTCCACGTTTCGAGTTCTATGGTTGGCCACTTAAGGCACTTCACAGCCGCACATACTGCATTATGTGTGGTCAACAAAAAACATTTTCATTGGCAATTATGATTGCAATGTTTTGATGTTACTGTTACCTTAGCTATGTCTATGTTAAAGTCACTTTCTCAAGTACCTTGACAGAAGGATCGATGTTAGAGGCTTGAACTACCAATTTGGAAGTGATACTTTCGAACATACACATTTTAAAACAGAGGCATGCAAGCTCGTGTGATTCACATTGAACCTGAAATCTGAAATATCAAGTCCAAATCATTAAAACTATATTGGCCATTTTGAATCTTTTAAATTGTGAGGGGGTTTCCGTTTTTCTTCATCTAGAAACTTTGTCACATGAACAAAGTAACAAGGTTTCGACGGACAGATATACAGTGGGAAACGTTCTAATTCTTTGGAAGTAAATAGATACTTTAGGTTATATTGAATTGGGATTTTAAAAAATAATATTTTAGTATGAAAAAGATATGTGAATTTTAATAGATTTTAAAAAATATTGTAGGAATGTCATGATTTTTAAGATTTTTTTTAAAAGATTTTTAAAATTTGGATTTTAATCAAGATTTTATAATTCAAATTTTAATAGATTTTGATAAATTTATATTATAAGATTTTAAAGAATATTATAGATTTTACAGGAAAATGTGGATTTACAATACTACAAAATTTAATGAAAAATATATAACATAAATAATAAAGAAAAGTAAAACATACATAATTTTTCTATCTTTTGATAAATAATTGACTTTAATATCTTTCTAACTGACATTTTTTCATATATCTAAAGTTATACTAGCCCTTTATATATTGACATGTTCTCTTTTATATACTTGAGTCTGAATAATATATTTAAAATTATGATTTTCATTAACTAATAGCATTAAAGATAAAGATTAATCCACAAATTCAATTGAAAATTCATAAAAGGATATTCTTTGTGAAAAAAGTTACGTAGTACTACATTCTAATACAAGTTCAACTGTATTTTAAATAGAAATAAAGGCCCTCACTTAAAAATTGTTAAGCATGATTTAAAAATACTAAATGTCCTCTTGATCACATTTATTAAGTATGCATGACATAAATTGAAACTTTCATTTTCATTTCATGACCTTCAAAAGTCTTTTTAATATATGTTTCAAATTATTTCAATATTAAATTTTTATTAAAAATAAATAGTTAAATTTTTATAATTTTAAAATTTTAACAATGAATACCACATGACATTTTTATTTTAAGAAAAAGTCTTGATTGAATAGTAAAAGACTTTTTTTAATAATAAAAGTCTTTTAAAATTTTAGTCTAATACATTTTTCTTAATCTTTGAAGTAAAAAGAAAATCTGACATATTAGTATTGGAAAGTTCGACATCATCTACCTCAATTCTCGTGCGGTTTATATATTTATTGAACAACTTTACTTAATACCAATGGTTTTAAGTTGAAATCTAACATGACATGAGAACTTATAACTTATTTTCTTGATTTACCTGGTAGGCTTCACTTGGTTTGATAGCTATCTATGGAGAGAGGTATTGGGAAGTCCTACATTGTCTGTATTAATTTTCTAGGTGCAATTTATATATATGTTGAACCACTTCACTTAATGTTAATTTCTTTTAAATTAAAATTTAAAACTAGTCTTTAAAATTAAAATATATATAATAAGTCTATGGAATACTGAATAAATTAAAACTTTAATTTAATTACTAAATATCATTTAATTTTAAATATTAATATTATTATTAAAGTCACACATTATTAGTTTAATTTTAATTAATATAATTTTCAATTTTTTATAAATTTATTTTTAATTTTATAATATCAAATCCTAATATGTTAAAGTCTTCCGGTTTAAAATACTCAACAGCGTCTGATTACTCTTAACGTGGCCCTACCGAAGTGTTCACAAAAAGACCATTTACATGCTTGCATCATTAATTTGGTTAAGATATTTTTGACTTTTGAACATCACCTTTTAAAACACAAGCATGCAAGTTGGTCTAATTTGGATATCATTCCTTCATGGTTCACAAATATGCCTTATATATACATGCATCTGACAAAGAAAAAGTCTGCTCTATGCAATTCTTGCACTCCAATCCACTTTTTAGCATAATGTTGACCAAACTTTCAAATACCACTTTCCCTTTGTCTATAGGGGATTTAACAAGCAAGTTGTTGCATTGCAGTTTCATGAAAAGGGGAACTTTGCACACTCTCTTTCTATTTAAAATTAAATAAACAAAGACAATACTGTAAGAAAGAATAACTTGTGATCCTCCCTAGTTCGTAGCTCACCCTTTCCGATGTGTTTTTTTTTAATGAAGGAATTAAGATTTTATGGTTTCTAAGTCTTGGAAAGAACACGCGGATATAGATTCAAGCAGGAACAGTCAACATTTAATTAAGGAGGTCAACGACATCAGTTATAAATTTAATTATATAAATTTTCAATTAAATACTTTTGCCAAGGAATATATATATATGTAGGGCATATATCTTAAGGTTTATCGGTAGTGTCATTATGTCAGACAAGTCAAGTAATAGACTTCACTTAATGTATTTACCATTGTTGGCTGACTTGGAACATGCAGGACGATATAGTTGAGGTTCTGCTTGTTTGGCACATTTGTACAGAGAAATGGACAACTTTGTAATGAGGAAGATTAAGGTTATTATTAATAGCCTGCTTAAGTTGTTGATAAGTCATCATGTTGCTTACCAGTAGGGTTCTAACCTCGTTGCTAACAAACGTATCTCCATGCTTAGTGGAGACAATTTTTCCATCATAATAAACAATGGTTGGAACAGTTAACGACTCCATTGATTGGATGTTTCAATCTGATGCATTTTAGCCTTTGTTATAGAACATTATATAGAACTAAAGCAAGCAAATGTGGACAAACGCAAAGTAATTGGATTCTTAACGCTCTAGGACCAAGGCAATGACACTTTACGCAAATCATTAATTTTCTGACTCTCTGGGACAAAGCAATTGATAACACTGCACAAAGTCATTAGATTCCTGATGCTCTAAGACCAAGGCAATGACACTCTGCACAAAGCATTAAATTTCTAACGCTCTAGGACCAAGGCAATGACACTTTGCACAAAGCATTAAATTCTCTGACACTTTGGGACCAAGCAATTGATGACACTGCAAAAAGTCATTGGATTCTTGATGCTCTGGAACCAAGGCAATGACACTCTGCATAAAGCATTAATTTTCTTACGCTCTAGGACAAACCAATTGATGACACTCTGCACAAAGTCATTCGATTCCTGATGCTTTGGAACCAAGGCAATGACACTCTGCACAAAATCTTTGGATTCCTTACGCAATGAGACAAACTAATTCGAATTTTTTGCACTATATATACACTACATACGTTCCAACCCTAAACACACAACAAAAGATCAATTCTCTTCAGCTATTGCATTCTTCAATTTCATTGCTATTGTTTTTCAAGAATGTCTTCTTCATCTTCAACTATGTTGTGGAAACAATACCTCCATAGGTCAAATGAAACTCATCTTATGGTAAGTAAATATATATTGCATAATGTTTACAACTAATATTATTTATTACTAACATTTCAATTCTGCCATATTCGTAGACAACAAGTGATCAAGTGATTCAATCTTACTATCATTCCATGCCTACACCTGACCCAAGAATTGAACATTTGTTGGAGGTTGCTGGGTTTGGCGAGGTTGCAAAAATTAGACATTTTAAAATCGATGATTGTCTGATAACATCTTTGGTGGAGAGGTGGAGACCTAAGACACATACTTTTCACCTTCCAGTTGGTGAGTGCACGGTCACTTTGGAAGATATGGCACTACAACTAGGTTTAAGGATCGGCGACAAACCAGTCATAGGACCAACTTTCTTTGACAGGGATGAATTGTGTTACGAGTTGTTAGGCTTCGTACCTCCGAAAGGGGAAGCTCTAGTTGGCTTAACCATAAAACTAAAATGGTTAAGAGACCAACAATTGCACCAACATTGTAGGGCATATATCTTAAGGTTTATCGGTAGTGTCATTATGTCAGACAAGTCAAGTAATAGACTTCACTTAATGTATTTACCATTGTTGGCTGACTTGGAACATGCAGGACGATATAGTTGAGGTTCTGCTTGTTTGGCACATTTGTACAGAGAAATAATGTATAAATAAAATTTACAAATTTTAAAAAATAAAAAAAATTATATAATACTTTGATTCATTAATTTAAATGGATAAATAAATATAAAAATATTTTATACATTGATTTGAACATATAATTATATAATATTTTAATTTATTAATTTAAATCGATGAATAATTATAAAAATATTATATATGTTTATTTGAATCTATATAATGAAGTAATGTATGATTATCAAATTTTTTAAATAAATTATAGACTTAATTTATATATTAAAAATTTTAAATTTTATAATTATATTGTTGAAATTACTAAAAAATAATTTTGAAGTAATTTGATCATATATATAGAGAGAGAGGAGAGTTCAAACGACATCAGTGTAACTTTTATTAAGTGTTACACAGCTCAATAACTTTATATTAAATGTGAATTTTGAAAATCAACCGTTAAATTAAAAGTTCATATCTCTTAGATCATATATTTGAACTCTCCTCATATATATATATATATACCTAAATTATAATGTGTTGATCCAAATGATTTAATAATAGTAAACAAAACTTTAGTTTGCAAGGTTGGTTTGGTTCTTATTCACATAAATTATAATACAATTATTGTATCTAGTATTATGCTAACTACCTTCCATAATT